TGAGCTAGGTAATTTATGTTGATCTCTGTATAAAAGAAAGAGCTTCTCAGAGTACACTGATGTTGAGGGAACTGAGTGTGTGGAAAGGACGCACGTACGAGCATGGATGTATCTTTCCAAACATTCCCGAAAAATCGCTTCTCTTCAAGAAAAACAACATTATGTTTCCAGCAAGGAAACCAAATTTTAACATCGGAGTTTGCAGAGACCATCACTCGGCTCTGCAGGTAGCAGACATAGGCGATATTAACCCACTGCAACTTCTTATGTTCTTATACTCCAGGTGCTAAATCTGAGAGAAATAACTAATTTGTTGCTGCTTTCTTGTTGTCATGTAAGTAATTTCCTTCCTGAATCCGAGGAAAATGAAATATGAAAATCCAAAGAAATTCTCAGTGTTAAAAATTCACGTAAAACCCACAACCGTGTCTACAAGAAAGGCTGGCCTTTTTTTTAATGCAGCCCTTTATAATTGTAAAATTTTTTGACACATTGTTTGAATAAATGTGTTAGTTTTAAAAAGCAGGAAATAATTTTTTCAATTATGCTTTTGAAATGAAAATTGGTCAAGAAATTACGGACGTATTCAAGGCGAATTAATATAAGGTGATAGCAGGAGTACAAAAACAAAAATTTACATTTATTTTGTTTTTGCTTTGGCGGCATAAACTGTCAAAATCTGTAAGAGCGTGTGTAGAAATTCAAACAAAATTTTTCAATTTGATATCAGAAGCCGTGCCGCGAAACAAATACACAAAATCAGCTGAGCTAGTAACACCACCTTATATTAATTCGCCTTGGATTGGGGTAGCTTGAAGTGTGTGGTAGTGGATCCAGGAGAGGAGAAATGTACAGTGAACCCATTGCCGTACCGTTGGAGCGCTCACATTCGATCCCTAAAATCACACCAAAAATTCTATTATTGTATTTTGAAATCTTAGTTAATAGTTTTTTTGCAGATATATTAAGGGAGCGTTCCTTTGCAATTAAAAACTTATTTTTTTTTTACTACAAAAGGGGCTCCAACTAAAAATTGTATAATGAGATATGCTATTTTTACAGAGGTCCAGCTTTGGAATGAATAATTTTGTTGGGAGCCATAAAAGAGACACAATTTTTTAATTCTCTTGGGAATGCCGCAATAATTTTTGCAAGGCATCCCAATGCACATATCAACATATTTATATTCATACTTATATGCATAGGTATGTAAGTATGTATGTACTTATGTTAGCATACCCCATCAGATATTTGCAGTTCATATTATAGTACACAATATCGAGCCCTAACCGCCAAAATAACGTAAGCGACATTTTTTTCAAAATTTTCTTTTTGATGCAGAAATGTATCTAGATGCTCTAGGAATATTTCTGCATCAAAAAGAAAATTTTGAAAAAAATGTCGATTACGTTATTTTGGCGGTTAGGGCTCGATATGTACACAATGCTATCCTCAACATTCAAAGGCCAATTCGCAGTCTTAGGCAAATATTCGACCAAGTTGTCCACGGAGGAATGTATGTATGTGTTATGCGCACATAAACATTTGTTTCGTCGTTTATTTTTATTTGCAAGAGATTTTCTTCAGAGGTGAGTTGAGCTCCTTGAGGATTATTACAAAAACATGCTGTTAGTGTATATTTATTGACTGAATAAGCAGTTGTGGTATGTGCATACATACTAACATAGCAACATCTAATAGCAGTTTTAATTACATATCGATTATAACCTTCCTTCCGCATGAAGCAAAGGAAATATACTCATTCTTACATTTTGCTTTAGCCTCATTGTATTTATTGCATGAACATACATACGTAGTGCCACATTTTGGGGATTAAAGTAAACATTCGCTATTCACACGCTTATTTTTGAAAACACTTTGATACTAGAACGGAGCTTAAATGCATGCATTTTTGAAGGAAAAGGATATTTTTGCTGTCAAGATACATTCTCACCCAAAAATTAAGCAGACAACAGCTTAGCTTAATATTATTAACTGGTGTAAAAACCTGTACAGGTTCAGGGAAATAAGTAAAGTAAATCGAAATTGCACTTTAACTTACATTTTCGAGCTCGATTCATGTTCGTACTTATACAAATTTAATGCAGTTAGTTTTAGATACAAGTGCACGCATGTGAGTTGTTTGGAATGGTGTTGCGTGATACCATAAGTTCAGTGTCATGTTTGGTTCAGCAGCTTACTTTATTCCACCACACCTCCCTCGATTTTAAAGCTTCTGCACATCACCACCTGCCATTTCATTTCATCTAACTATCACCTTCCTTAACTAGTATGTATGCAGTAGCTTATTTTCTGATTAGTTGCCTTACTTGGGTTAGTTGGGTTTACCTACGAAACTCTTCAAGGGATCTGCGCTCACTTGGCACATGCAACTGCCCGAATTGTTGAGCAGTACTTATATGATATGTGTAGTTTTTAGGTGTGGCAACCATTGTGTGTCGCTGATAATCTGGGATTAAGTGACCCCATATGGGTGTGAATGACGAGTTGCGTAAGCCGTGCAACCTGAAAAATACATAATAAAATAAAACATGAAAATGCCCAATAAACATTGTCGTGATTACCCAATAGGAATATCGAACTGAGAGTGATCTCATAACCATCTTAGTTTTCCAACGTTCAAAGTAAATTTGAAATACACTCGAAATGGGTTCGAAAAAAAAAAATGAAATGAAAATGGTAACAAGAGAGAAGGTGAAATCCAACTCATTGGCGATGGGAAATATTTTAGAAAATCACACTCTCACAATAAAATCTCGATTCGATAATGGGCTGGATTTCAAATTCATAACGAAGCGAAAATACATTAGACAACGAAGGTTCCATTTTGCTGGAGAATGGCCGAGTTCTCGAATCGAATACTAACCTATTGCACATTCGTTATCGGAGGTTAGACTCGAAAAGAGGATTGGTTTTCCAATCATTTTCGGATTGTTAACCAAGCTCAATGCTTATTGGGCGAGAAAAGCCTTATTCCTTATGGTATACTCATCTATTCATATGGATTAGTAGTCAGGGCCAGATTCATAGTAGAGGCAAATTTTGGACCAAGAGTTTTTTTAAATATATTAAAATTAGGAAGAAATTGTATACCTACATAAATGTTAGGAGTGGTCCACACAAACAATTCAAAAAGTAATAAGTATGTTTGACCCCTCTGATAGATTTTTCTACAACTCTCGCCGTCGCGTTTGGATGAAGCGCGGGATCTAGTGGCATATCCTCCGCGAAATGTGGTGCGAAAAATTAACTGTACGAGTGTAGCGCGGCAGACGAAGCAGGATTTTGCTATTTGTGGGCATATGTCATGAAGAAATGAAAAGTATGGTGGAATATCGAAATAAAATCGCCCCATTTTTTTTTATATAAAACTCATGAAAGCGACATACCAAATCATTTAATGTAACAATAAGATGTTGTTATAGTATAGTTTTTAACACCGAAGAAAAAATATAAGGTGACCGTGACATAAGTTCCGTGTCTAAAACCAAGCTAAATGCATCAGGCGAGTTATTAAGCTAAACGTTTATCTTTCGCAAAGACTTGATGTCGACATCCCTTTTAACTAGTTTAAAGCAGGCCATTTGGCTTTGATCAGTATTTGAGTTTTTCGCAACATAGGATATGATAACATCTTCGGAAATAGTATATCCCTTTGAAAAATAAATATGAAAAAAATAAATTAAAAACGAAAAAAAGTAGAGAGAAAAAAATAAGAAAATTCCGCTGTGTGAGGACTCGAACTCGGATTTCTCGAATGGCACGCGTGTGCTTTATCAACTCAGCCATGGCGACTGTTAGAGTGACGCGAGCTAAATTACATAAAAGTGCTTTCTCTCAAAATAACTTTTCACCACGAGTGGTGAATGAAAGAGTTTTTTCTAAGACTTTTGTGCCAAAATAACAAAAGTCTTTCTAACTATCTTGTCATCTGTCTTTCATTTGTCTCACGAAAGACTTTTTATTATCTTAGACAGAATTGCCCTGTTAGATACATTTCTCGTACGTTTGAAATCGCTTAGAAAATGCACTAAAAAGTAGGCTTACGGTGGAAAATTTTTCTGCAAATATATATCAGTCCTCCAAAAAGTAACAACAGTAATTATTTGAATAACAAAAAAATATTGGAAAAAAAACATATTTTGTTAAAGTCGGTTTTTGCTGTTCAATAACTGATTAGTAAGTGACCTTTTAGTTAAGATGCAGGGATGGTATTCAGGGCCAGTAGTCAAGAGTTCTAGCTTTAATTTAAGCCTAAGTGGAAGGTTCTATCACCTTTTGTTTCTTTGCTAGAGCTTCCCAAATATAACACTTTGAGTTTTTGAAAAATACCGTTATATGAAAATTGGCGCATCTTTGGCCGGGTTTTGTTTATATTAACACCTTACGCTAATAATAAGCTAAAGAAGCTTCTGTTAATTTTTACTATATATGGCCAGCTTTTTCATGATTTCTCCCACTGTACGCCGATATCAAAATAAAAAGGCATACAACCATATTCGGAAATAGGAAAAAATTTGAAGCGAGCTTCCACTTAATTACTTGCCTGATCTAATGATGACTTACAAAAAAAGTTGAATTAATCTATGTGTATTGAAGTAGTCTTCAGTCAATTTTGTTTAATGGAAACTGGAACTTTTTCAGCTGACACGAACTTATAAACCAATATATAGATGGCCATGGATGTGTAAAAAAATTTTGGCGCAAATATTTGCTTCCAATTTTCAAATTAAAAGCTCTATAAGCGGAATTTTTATAAAATTTTCGATAAAAATGTATGTTAGCATATACATATGCATGTATGATGTACATATATATGATATATGTGTGTGTGTATATAAATCCATTCGCCATTTTGCAGACGTAAGCACATACATATGTATGTAAAAGTCCAAGCGTAGCCGCGGTCGTGCTATTATTTATATTAACGTGATCATGTGTTCAATGTACATACGTGTATGTGAACTCTTGACTCTTACCTTGTGCAAACATGAACGTATCACTTCCGTTTCCACTCCGGGGCCGGATGGTGATGGGCAACAAACTCCTTATTCCACACAAAGTGTCCACGCAGCAACATTTAAACTGACCCATGGCGGTGGAGATAAAGCCAATATGCTTAGTGGCTTCGTGTGTAATGCGAGTATAATATGTAGATGTTAGGCGTGAAGAAGGCGAACGACGGTAAAAAACAAAGACGCGTGCTACAACTGTGATGGTATTCATGGGCATATATGGATTTGTGCTTGCAGCTTAACCACAGACCGTCGGAGATAATGTGTGATGTGGTGGCTGGTTAGCAATAGGAGGGAGAAGCAACCTTCAATGCCTATTTGCTTCTAACTAGTGCTATGTAGCTGCTTTTGGTGTGATTTATATTTCAGTTATGTGGTACTTGTTGCAGGTCGCAACTGACGCTTTTAGCTATGTTCAAGGCGCAGGTGTCCTGGCGTTAGCTTTTTTGCAAAACGCGCATGCTTTTGGTTTGCTGTTGTAAATACTATTTTTTTTTTTGCATTTACGACTTACAAACTTTATAGCTTAATGCAGTCTACATATTTGCTTAGCGGTGTTTGTGACTCTATGTTGTTGAACTTGCTTTGCGGTTCAGCTTTTTAGTCCACTTGGTTCACTTGCCCTCACGACGTCAGGCGACATTATAGTAAGTATGTCCATTTAACTTTTGTAGAGTTTTTACCTCCGTTAGTAGTTCTGATGCGCACTTTGTGCAACAATGCAACTTTTGGCCACAAAAATGGAACTTATACTGTAAAGAGAAAAACACATACATATTAGAGGGCTGCATGAATGCATTCAAAACGGCTTATGAATTATTTATATACAAAACGAATTAATGATTTTGGCTTCAAATTTTCTTGAATTTGAGTGAATAGCTGTTCTGATATTTGTGTCGACATTACAATATTCAAACAAAGTGAAAATAAATTAAATTGAAATAAATGACAATTTTTTGTATGAATCAAGGCGATTTCATATAAGGTGGTATCGATTCAACAAATACAACAATTACTTTTATTTTGTTTTTGCTTTTAGCTGGTGACTGTCAAATTTCAGCTATTCTTCTCCGAATGAAAAATTGCGACAGAAAATGCAAACACTCTCACGTTTTCACTCACTCACTAGCAAAATATAAAATTTTGACAATCAAACGCTACACACAGCTTATTAAACAACACCACCTTATATAAATTCGCCTTGGTATGAATATCCAAAAATATTTTTTCTACGCACATATGTACAAACGTACATACATATGTATGTATGTATGTATTGCTGCATTCCTATTATATACGAAAAAACTTGTTTGTAGAAATAAACTTTTACCGAAATGAGTTTGAATGATTTGAATGTTTTCTATTCATTCATTCACATTCTTCCATTTGAAGGTAGAAAATATAAAACAAAATGTATATTCATAACTTACAAAATTTCAAACGCTGAGTGTTTTGTATGTGAAGTAAAATATTCAAATCTACTGTACTCTGTTTGGCTAGAAGTTTGAATGAATTCATGCAGCCCTCTAATACATATACGACATACTTTTATTGAGATGCCATTTTAATAATGATTAGTTATTTTATATTTTCCTTTTTTTAAATCTACTTAAGCACTCAAATTTAGTTTGATTTGCAGTTATCTTGTGCAAAAATAACAGCTAAATATATATCTAATTTTTCAGTTTCACTTTTTCCGTGCCCAGGGACACACAGACTTAGTTTTTTCTTTACTAAACTGCAGTAAGCGAACTGACTTCGTCTTATTGATGAAACTTTAGACCTGAACATCGTATCCCTGGAAAACTTTGAAATTAGAAGGCGATTGAGAGTCAAGGTACTCTCTAAATGGAAAAGTTCTCACTTAACAGGTTGCCATTTTCGCGTTTGTGGCGGAAAGTGCTGGCTTCGATGGAAGGCGGGAACCTAGATTTAGTTTTGCGGGTCGAAAGCTTATAATACAAATGCTTTCTCCCTGAAGGTATTCCAAAAGGGGTAAAGAAATAATAGAAGACCAACTTTCAATCGTAAATTTAGCTTTTGAGGTATTGGGGCTCACTTTGTGCATCTACGTTATTGGTAGACAAGGGGTGGTTGAACGGTAACGACTTAAGGTTTGTAGTAAACAAATTTCGGAATTGCCCAATTTTCGTTCAGCTGCTGGGATGATTTTTAGCCTTTCTGCATGAAGTCCCAAAGGACAATGACTGGCGGCTAGAACTTCCACCGGTGGAGAGAGAAGTGACCTGTTCAGTTTAAAGCGCCCCTTGTCCGACGCCGTTCAATGCATGGCCAGAAGAACTTGCAACCTTGCATTCCAAGGCTACTCACTTTCCTTTGAAAGCTGCCCGACTTTGCCCAACAAGTTGTGCTAAAAAGCGTGCGATAAAAAAACTTCACAAGTTCGATATCTTTTAGTTTACGTTCAGTTCATTGTAAGGAATTTACGATTGCCTCTGGCAGGACGTTGTTGAGAATAATTGCCGTATATTCATTGCAATGTTCCCACAATAGTCGGGATATATAATGAAGCGATCCGGATTTACATATGTATATTGGGCCTAGAACTGCTACTCCAGAGGCATTCTCGAAAACCATTTGCGGTATTTCTACATACGTGTGTGATACTACAATACACCAAAAAAGCAATTGGAAGCGCAATGCATCAAAAGTCTTTCGGAGTAGAATTAGGCATATGGTCGGAAGATTCGGTTGGCTTCCTCTGTGGTAAGCAATTTATGCCTATGCATCTGAACAAAGTGCGGATGCCGTGAGTTACGCGATTACAGAAAGGGTCAAACCGCAAACGGGGTGGAGTTCTTCAAAGCAATGACTGCACATGCAAGATAAAAACGCATACGTATACGACAAAGCAATGTTCAAAAGCGCCACAATCGAAATTCCTAGGTGCAGAGAGCGTAGTCAGAGGCGGAAAAAGTCGAAAAATAAGCATAACACTGGAAAATAGGGAAAAGAAAGAGCGAGCGTTAAAATAAACGGCAGCTGTTCAAGTGTTGCGGATATGATTCGATTTCGCTGCAGTGGAAAAGGAATACTGCAGGAGCAGCAAAAAAATGGCCACGTTAGCAGTGAGTGGGAATCAGTTGATGGAAAACGTTATCGCAGCTGCTTTAGCGAGTGTTGCTTCTACTATTTGTTGCTGCACCATTGCATTCGTACGAACGTATGTAAAATTTTTCTACTCCGTGCAACTGGTCATGGCTGTCGCATCAGTTTTTGCCTCTGTCTTCGGTCTGTCCAAAAAAAATTTTAATTGACATGCTTTTGATTTCCGTAAGTGGCTTTCACACAAAACTTTAACCACTGAGCTTTTGATGAGTATATACCAGAGTAGTGAAAAACGCATTAATTTTTTTAATGCACAAATTGTGCTTAATGCATAAGGTTTTGAAATTTAATGCAAATAAAAACTTCAAGTCATTAATTCTGAAAGCATAATGCTAATGAAATTTGTTTCATTAAATTATCTAAACTAATGCTGATGAAAAAATGTTAATGCATTAACATGCCGACAGGATTGGATCAAAAGTTGTGTCGTAGTTGCGATGACCCTAGCTTAAAAGAGACAGTCGAACACTTCCTGCGCGAGCGTCCAGTCCTCGCAAGGATGAGGCTAAGCAACTCTGTAATACATTCCTGAAGAATGTCTTAAAGTGCAGCTGCCTCTCTCTGCATTATATATGTTAAATGTTTCTATTTACGCAAGATTGTAACTGACTGCTTGAGTATAAACAAATTTTATACACAAGTATGTATGGTATTTTGAAGTATATTTAGGGTACTCACAGTTTCGTATTATGTGGTGTGGTAAGTTTGCCATACACTAACTTTAAAAGAATTTGCCATCTGGTATCATTGTTTGTTTTTGTTTCGCATACAAACTAGAGATACCATTTACGGCTAAAATTGCCTTGCTTTGGCATGTGTTTATCTTTTGTGTTAAACTGGCATCACCAAACAGCTGATTATATTTTGCGACGCAAAATGGAAGCAGAAACGTTGAAAGCAAAAGTAAGTGAATTTTTGTGATTTTTAAATAAAAATGTAAAAATATTTTATTATTTGCAGGTTAAGCAAAAGCGTATACGCAAAGCGCCATATCGAAAATGGAGCGAGTGGGAGCAGCAGCAATAGGTAAATTTTCTGCGCCAAAATAGGCCAATCGAAAAGCCAAATGCGCAGCTTTACTACAAGCGCTTCTTGAGCGAAAATGGGCTTGAGATAGAATGGTCAACGGTGCGCAGCAAGGTCAA